CTTGCATGAAGCAGCAGCCTTGTCATATAAATCTGCAACAAATATCAGATAACTAAACAAACTAAGCAAAGGGTAATGACAAATACTTCTAAATAACAATAAACACCTATATATAAGGTAAATTACCTAAGATATTGCAAGCTAATATTATTGAAACTCAACGAGATATGAAATTCTTATTTTCTACTGTTTGGTAGCGGGTATTTTGTGATAAAGTTAATTTTCTAAAGTAAAGTTATTAAGGTCATTCCAAAAATACCTTGATATTTTTAACAACATGTACTTAAAATTATTAGCCTGCAATACTTTTAGTGATTTACTCTATATAAATCTTACAAAGATAAAGCATCCTTGTATCAAAACGAAGAAACACTTGATCATCAAAATGTAGACGATGATAGTTTATTGAATAGAAATCAAAGTATTGAAGTAGGACAAAATCCTGAAAAACTTGTTGAACATTTTATTTAATCAACAACTCCAAAAGTAATTTTTTCTATTACATATCTAAATAGAATAACCTTATAGAAGTTATTTAATTACAAAAGTTGGGAAGCAATCTATACAGGAGAAAATGTTTAACACTTAATTCATTGACTGCTTAACATAGAAAACCTAGAGATTTAACACTTTTAAATTAGCGTGAAAAAGACAGACAAAAATATTAGAAGAAAAATAATTAAATTGTGAAAAAATGACTAGACAGAACAAGAATAATTACTGATGGTATAGTAAAATTAAGAAAGAGACATAATACTGACTCGAAAATAGTTTTACAAAAATAACTGCATATTCTATGAAGGAGTAATTTTAAACAACATGGAAAAATTTGAGTTTTTTAACATATTGCTAGCATGAAACGCAAAGTTGCTTCAAATTATTGTAAATATCACTAGAACACAACCCATTACAATTTATGCTTTAAGAAGTTGACATTTTTTCTCGTCTTTCCCATAAAAAACCTACTTACCATAAAATCTCTTAATTAAAACGGTTTCCTCTCCCCAATTTGGATCAGGCGGTTTCTCCTTCCTTACTAAACTTCCGGCATCTACAGATGTGGGAGGCCATTTTATCTGTACTTCCATATTTTCATCTAATTCAGTTGTGAACCATCGAGTAAGACCAACAGCATAAAATACATCATCATCAGAAGTTAGCCTCTTTCCTTCATGTGTTAAAAATTTCAACACCACAAACTGCAAAAAAGACGATAAAATTTAAAAAAAAAAAACTAAAAGTGTATGGACACATTAATTATTATTACATCAGGAGAGAGATCAATAATAGAAACATAAAAAATAATGTGATAATTATCATACAAATACTAAACTGTTTTTGTTAATAATTTTAATTAAAAATTAGAATCACAAACAGGATATATCTGTCATACTATCCAAATTTTATGTAACAACATAAATGAATTTATACTCTACATCACAGTTGTTCAAGCTCTAAAATACAATTTTGCTGTACAGCAGCTTAATTAACTGTTATCATGTATGCAAATACAGAAGGAAAAAAGACAAGAAAACAAATTAGAATGTATAATAAATCACTTTGGTGATAATTATACCATTACACTGAAAGAACAGAAATATTAACAGACTACATTACTTACATCGCTTATCAACTATAGAAGAGGCATAGTGTGAAGCAATGGAAAACATAAAAAAAATTCTCCATCGGGAATAAGCCAGCATTTAGCAACAACTTCAGTAAGAGGAAAAACACGCCTTTCTTCACTGATATCTGTTAATTTTACAATACCTAGTTCTGACGAAGACAGAGGATACTGATAGACGTCTTCCATCTGTGTAAAATAGTATCCAACAAAAAAAACTTTACCATGTCTCTGTACAATATTGTAGAGGACAGCAATATCACCCTTAACAGTTTTAAAACAGGAATCTTTCTTGTTGCACTTAAAAATTGTATCGTTTACTTTAATTCTTCTGAATTGCAGACCATCTATTATCTCATTAAATACAAATCTTCTCTGAGCTTCCAAATGCACTTTATTCTCATGATCTTCAAAGACAATGTCAACATGTCGTGATTTCTCTAAATCACGATATGCAGCTTGTTTGAGCGGTTTATATCCAGATTGCAGAGATGCTTTAATTGAAAACAACTTGTTCTCAAAAGGATAAGCGCTAAAAGTATCAAGTGCGCCATGTTCTTCACATTCTTTAGACAGGTGACACATGCTATGAACGTTATACACAACAAATCTTTTTCCAAATACATCTGCAGAATGATTAATAAAGGTCCTTAATAATTGGTCTGCATAGCCACAAAGATTTCTCACAAACACAGGACTTCTTAAGATATAAATGGCTGAGTGCAGAAGTAAAAAAAGTTTATATACATTTTCATCTAAATAATCACGAAAAACTAAAACACCATCATACAGCAAGAGTCGTCTGTACTCTGTACCCTTCATATAGGTAAAATCTTGAAAAGATCTTGGAGGTCTATTGAAGTCCGATGGACATGAGTCCTTCAGCATTTCTAGCTTATGGGAAATAGCTGTAACAATGTCACGATGCAGCTTCCAAGGTCCATTCCATTTTAAAAGAGCTAAGAGGAATCTCTTGAACACACCTAAATCGATAAGATGCAGTGCATCTAAACGGAACTGAGACACTAGAAGAGCTTCTATGTCAAGCAATGGAGAGCGGTCCAGATGATGATATGGTTGTTCTTGGTCACGAAATGACTCATCAGTTCTCAGAGTCTCATCAAGTTTTATATATGTCATGCGATGATCAATCCATTCTCCTACAACCTGACACTTCTCACAAGCGCAATATCCTCCATGTTCAATACAACACTTTACTTTTGCACGAGCTGGAGCATCTAAAATATAATGCCTAATCGAAAATTTATAAGCAATATCATTGTTTGTGTAACCATTTTGAAGCAAGTGAGCAACCTCTTTCACAAAAGGCTTAAGAAAATCCTTTACACTAGGATCAATTCTTCCTTTAAAAAGTGCAATAATAAAAGGCTCATTTTTTGTTCTTACGAGCCTGCCTAATATAGGCCAAAATCTGATCGGAGAGCTTTTGTGGAGAGGGAGCCCATCCATATTGATATCAATGATAATTTCATGAAAACGTGCTAAATATTCCTGCAAATCCATAGAATCTAAATTGAATGTAATTCCTTTATACCATAATTTTCCACCATTAACTGGTATTAAATTAATCTCAGGAGTTTGTAAAAGGGTTTTATAACTAAGAGGTAAGTTTGGAAATGCAGGATGAAGTTTAGAAAGTAGATCATCTAGCTTCCTCTTTGAAAGTCTTCCTGGCTCACGAGCCCATGCTTCTATAGCAGCTCTAACATACTGAGCCTTCTCATTTTCATCAGCAAAATACATTTGTTCTTCGTCTGATGTATTATTTTCTTCGTTACTTTCAGAAGTAATAGAACCAACATCTGCCTGGGCTTCTGTTTGTGATGAGATAATACTGTCACTGTTATCATCACTTGCAATTTCAGAAGCAGTAAGATTCACGCTATCAATTTCATTTATTGATGGATCCGGTCCATAGTCAATGTGTTCAACAGCATTCTGTTCATTCTGACTTTCTTCGTGAAAATAAACGCAGTTATAGCCATCATCTTCAGATGACTCATTACAAAATGCAATATTTTCTTCCATATCATCAGTACTGTCACTAGCGGAATTAAAATGCTGCTGTTTCACAATAGCATTGACTTTGTCTAATCTAAGGCGCTTTGCAGCAAGCTTACGTATATTTCGATTTAACGATCTCTTGAAGTTTTGTTCTATGATCTTCAAAATGAGCAAAAAAGCACGTTATAATGTTACAAGCTATAATATTAAGACTTAAGGTTATATAGGGTGTTTCAATTTAAATGACAACCTTAAATATTTCTTGAACATACATTTTAGAAAAAAATGTTTCAGACAAAAGTTACTTGGTTTGGAGAAAGACAAATAATAGTAAAATAGTAAAATCAATTTTTGAAAAAATCGATTTTTTAACGAAACACGGTCACCATAATTTTTAAAAATGGAATTATATAATTTTCTTACATAAGATAAATCTCCTAGTTATTCTGCATATCAAAAAAGTATTAAGGTAAAAGTATTAAGGTAAAGTATTAAGGTAAAATTATCAAAAAATCAATACTTTATGAAATATATTATATTTTATTCTGACATATTTTAATGTGAAATATAAAATATCTCAAACTATTTATTTATTTTTTATAATTGTACCTTAATACTTTTATATGCGGAATAACTAGGAGAATCATTTTATGTAAAAAATTATATAATTTAATTTAAAAAAATGATAAACTTGTTTCCTTAAAAAATTGATTTTACCATCATTTTTTTCCCCATAAACCATGCAACTTCTGTCTAAAACATTTTTTATTTTTCTCAAATATGTTTGAGGTCATCATTAAAAATGGAACATCCTGTATATGTACATTTAATTTTCTTTTTACGTGGTTAAAGTGTACCGCGTAAGCGTTAAAAAGATTATATTATTTAGGAGGAAACTCGTGTAAAGAAGATATAGGAATACAAAAGACATATTATTTTATGCCGTAGAGCAAAGAAAATTGTGTAAAAAGAAATCGCGTTATATAAAAAAAAAAACCGCATTAAAAAATGGCCAAGAGTACAAAGATTGTCGAAACTGTTTTTAATAATGTCATAAATATAAGTCGGAGACAAAAGTTTACACATGATTTGTTGTAAATATCAACCGTATCGTATAAAACATTGCATGATCTTTAGTTCTTTAATAACTATAATTACAGTGATATTTTTTCAAGATATCTAATTATTTATAGTAAATAATACGTTCATACACAAAAAAATAGGGAACACTTTCTATACTAAAAATTGAGCTATTTTCAAACCACTGAAACTCGACAAAAAATTATTGTAGACAAAAAATAAAAAAAGCATTTTAAAGATGATTTTTAGCCAAGATTAGCAAAAGATTGTAATTTATAAAACTTGAGCCGAATTTTTCGAGATAAATTTTTTTTTGAGCTGCAAAATGTCAAATACACATAATTTTAAGGAACAGAACAATATGTTCTTTTTTAAAGCATGGAACAAGGAAAATAAACAAATATTAAAAAACTATTAATAGTAGTTTGTTAAAGTTAAAACTTCAAACTTCAAAAAGCTTTTTTAATTTTTTGTCTGCAATGATTTTTTGCTGAGTTTCTACGTTTTGAAAATAGCCCAATTTTTAGGGCACAAAAAGTATTTCCTATTTTTTTTAGTATTGTATTTAACTATATTTAATCCTAGAGAGTCTTTATGAATTTTCTCATACGTGAAAGGCCAAGCGGGGTGATACATTACCCCAAACTTGTACCGGGTGTATAATGTTTCTATTTGATGTTAGACAACTTTTTAATAAATAATTTTGTTCGTTCTTTAATAGGGAAGACGATAGTAGTCATCAATTTGCGGTAGTAACCTTCGTGATCTATTATGCTAGTCTGATCGTACATTCTAAAAGTGCTAAATACAAGAAACAAATATTTCTAAAAATATAGGTATACTTACAGGCCTATCGTCCTCTGCCATTGTGTCAATTCACTATAATCATTCAGCTCGACAACTTAATTTGATAGCTCAGGTAGCATAAAGCAACAGCTAGGTCTCAATTCTCAAGCTCAAAACTGGTCATCTTTTTCTTTTCTCCAAAACTAGTCGTTGAGTACGACCGTGCGACCACAGTGCGACAGACAGCGAACCAGGAGGCAAAAACAAACAGCGATATCGGCGTATATATGACTGGAAAAAATTATTCATAAAAAAATTTATAATACGACAATTTTTTACACAAAATACTAAAAATATCACTCAGTATTCGACGCAGCGACTATTCATCGACGATTTATCAATCGACATCGTCATCGATGTCAAATCGACATTGATTCGACAAATCATTTCTGGCTAAAATTCTTATGATGTATTTTTATTTTACATAATATGGCTATTGTCGTGTGTGTGTGTGTGTGTGTGTGTGTGTGTGTGCGTGCGCGTGCGTGTGTATATATGTGTATATGTGTGTGTAGTAATAACTAATAATAATGTAAGAGCCTTCGTGATCTATACGCTCGTCTGTTTATCGCGTTTCCGCATACATTATATTTCAATGCAGATTACCTGTAACTACATGGCTGTAAAAGCGCATTAACGTCGATCGATATAAATTTACATTATATGTAACATTACACGTAAATTACGCATGCATATTGTTACATATGTATAAGCCCTAAAATGTATGTGAGCGAGTAAGCGTGAGATGGCGTTGCTAGAGTAACGGACGGAAGCATTAACACACGAGACAGCGAGCAGTGAACGTCCGAATAAAGAACGAGTATTAAATTACGTATAGTGTTATTAATAAGTTACCCCCGGCCATCCCAAGTATAATATTGGCGACAAGGAAAAACAATTTACCGGAAAAACTAATAAGGACGACGTCATGGCAGGCGAGTCGAGTATCGCAGCGTTTAATCCGAACGAGGATCAACACGGCATATATCCGAGATGGGAGAGATGGCTCAGAGACTTCGAACTCTTTCTGCTGAGTAAAAATATAACCGGGACGCAGAGGAAGAAAGCTATGCTTTTACATCATGGCGGGATGGATCTACAAGACATATTCTACGCTATTCCAGACTGCGACGTGGTGATAGGAAACGAGGATTCATACGAAAAAACTAAGAAAGTGCTAACGGATTACTTCAGGCCAAAATTGAACGCGACGTACAAGCGACACCTTTTTAAAAATATGGCGCAGAAAGAAGACGAAACGGTCGGTCAATTTGTAACAC